CTCATTGATCAAGAGATAAACACCAATTCACAGAAGGTGTGTCCTTCCAGTCATAGAGTATGTATTATATGAATCAAATATTTCCATAGTTACATACAGTGTGGCCACCCTAAACTATCTACTTTTAGGGCAACACTGTAAAGCAACAGATACAAGAGATTTCTCAGCACATTTGCCATGTACCTTGACAATCCAGTGCAAGCATCGTATCTGATCACCCTGTGGTTTGCTGAATAAATCAGTACTTACCTGGTCTACTGGATACTCCGCTGATTTCCCAGCACTTCTACCATGTACCTTGATAACTTCTCGGAGTCCAGTACAAGCACCATGTCTGATCACCCATGATTGGCTAAATAAATCAGTGCTAAGCTGTTCACAGAAGGAGGCAAAGGACCACTCACCGACCTATAAACAAAATACAGTTGTCATGGTGAATTCTATAAAACTATAATATTAATAAATTCTTATTATCCATGATAAAGGATTGCCAACACTTTGATGACATACACATATCTTGACAAAACCTAGTAAACGACTTAAAAATCTTGAAGCAGTAAATTAAAATAGAATAAGTATTGAAGAAATACATGGATACACAAACCTACGACTGGGGCTTGACATGCATGTAATAATTTGTGCAATATCTTGTGGTATACAAGTATTTGACTGCAGTAGTTGTAGTTTAATGCTACAATATTATACCAACTTTATTTTAAATGTAATATTGAGACATATTGAAACTTGAAAGCACCAAAAACAGTGTAAAATGTGATATATCATCTGAAACATTCTACAAACATTGGTTAAATGAAATTGACCATAGAACCAACATCCTGCGGTTTTAAAGACAGCAAGTGGTGGCACAAATTCACACTTATATTTAAGTTGTACAATATTTATTAATGTTGTTTCTTGTTAGCTGCAACATTTAAGTAAAATCTATTTTATTTAATTAATTTTAAAAAATATGGTTGCCACTTAGTAACGTAAGATTATGTTTTCAGAAAGAACAAATCTCCTGGGTTCATAATCGAACAATAATTTTTTCAGGTGACATTGGTGTGATTCTGAAAAACTATTTTCTGATCCATGTCTTTTGAAGTACAAAATACCTGAGGGTTTTAATAATCCTCATTATGTTCTATGTTCGTAGCAAATTAATATTTTTGTCTATTTCAGTTACAAGCAGGATTTACCCCTACTGTGTTTATATTCACATTTGAGGTCTACACTCATAACAGGAACACATGTGGTACCGGTATATCTTCCATTCTATCATGGTTTGCAAAGTAAGCAGAACATTCCATTGAGGCACCACCAGACCTTTTCGACAAAAATCATTCTGCACTTTTTTTTTAAATTCTTCAACTGAATATTTCAGGAGTTGAACCCTAATTTTGGAGCCAGCAGATAGACCAGTCAATTTTCTGTTTTTAATCAAAAAATTTGGCTTTTTTTTTGTCCTAATCTTCTGAAGAAAAGTGCTGACTATAAATGAAACTGTTTTGTGAATTTGTGATGAAAAGTGAGAACTGGTGGTGAAAAGGTTAAGGCATAATATAATTCTCATTTCACAGTGATTCAACTTAATGAAGAATGGTGAAGAAATTGTTGTCGTTATTTTTATTTTTTCCATGCACGTTATATACCGGGGTACTCTATGACATCATTAGTAGTACTAGATGCGCTACAAAGTGTAAAAACTCACTTCTTCATAGAATGTAGCGCTATCTACTGCATGATCCACCATTTGTTTGTCAGCTGTGGATTGTGATGGAACATGAATCGTGGCTCCCCGTGATTTCTTTGATGCTGGTTCTACATCATCTTTACATTCACTACAGGTTAAAAATAGAATTGTTCTCTCAAATAAAATATATATTTTTAATAGTACTGTACATATGACAAGTGACATGCTCAACTATTAAAATTTATTTTAACAAATATTATTGCTTTTTGGAAATTATTATTTTTTTCTTCTCTAATTTCCAACAATTATCTGTATTCAGTTAATGAACATCTTTAATTTTATTTATTTTTTACTTTTTTCCTGAATTTAACATTTTTTCATGTAAAAAAAATCAATCAATAAAAAAATTCACCAAGCTATTGTCAATAACATTTTTATTTTGAAAAGCAAAAAATGTAGTGTTCAATTAAAAAAAAAATATATTGACCAATGTTTGGTTTTAGCAGTTCGCAAGAGATGAAATTACATTTCAAATGAATAATTTTGCTTATTGTATTCAGGATTCTTTTTCTTTTTACTCCATGTTTGCATAATGTACAATGGATTTTGCCACAAACCACTTTCCATATGTGTGAAATGTGACAACCATTGTGTGACCGTCATTTTCAGCATTATGGTTATTTTATAAAAAATAATAAATAATAAATGGCATAAGAGACTAAAAATAGTCTAAAAATATAAACAGTTTATTACCCTTTGAGTGCCAAATTGTTTTCCCGCTCCAAATGGGGCAAGATATTTTCACATTTTCTGTAATTTTCATTGAATTCAATCTTAATTTTGGACTGAATGTGACATTGATTCTATTTTTTGATGAAAAAAATCGATATAAAATTTTCGTCAACATTTTCTGTGAAAAAAAGCAGACTAAAAATGGAACTATTTTGGGGATAGTTTCAGACTTTGGCACTCAGAGAGTTAATTTGTTGTAAAACACAATATTATAAGTAAAAACGAAAATTGTTTTTTGACAAATTAAAACCGTTTAAAGTAGTTTGAATATTTTGAAGTAATATATCAGCATGGACTTATTAAAATGAAAAATGAAATTCATAATAACTGAAGGCAATGAGACAGAATGAAAAGATAATATAAACTATTCTAATAATAAGAGCTTGAACGGTTTTAAAAGCTCAACTCACTCCAGAAAAACAAAATACTGGTATATTTGTTGTTAGTCAGCAAGTATATCAGTTTGAAAGTATCAAAAACTACAACATTGATGATGACAGACATTTTTCTTTCATATACCTTTTTTCATGTTTGAGTCGAGCAAGGTAAAATTGAAATAAAAAAGTCGATGAAAATGACACAATCTTGTTCGATTTTTCAACCCCCATTTTTATGTGCTTTAACACACTGATGTACCATTGATGAGAGGGCAGTCCATACCCGAATGAAATAGAGTTTGATCACAACTTCTCTGGGAATTGTTTATTATTGTCAAATTGTAGAATTTGTTTGTGTCCGAAGTTGATTACTAGAATCCGAAAATTTTGCCATAAACTATTTAATAGCACCATCGAAAATTTTACATCACCGCACCATTGCTTAGAACCAAAAACCATTTTTGTTACTTAGAAAGGTGTAAAAAGCTTCGCTTTTACATTGAGTATTGCATATGTGTGTACAAATATTCAATAGGAATGAAACATTGAAATGTAACAAGAGCTTGCAGCAACCATCTTTGTAAAGCATAACAGCAATATGGTTATTAAATTAAAAAATAAAAAAAATAAGTAAAATTATTATTAAATAAATAGTGATATAATAAATAAACTGAAAAGGGAATAAAATATGAAGGTAGCCTGTTGTCAATGGCCACCTGGAACTTGTACGTTTTATTACAGTCCCTCAACACCAGACTGTGGTTTTATAGATATATCAAAGATTCTATTTTGGAAAGAAAGAAACACTGGGAGACCATACTATAAATACTGGAAGATATAATGCATTTAGTAATTATTGTTAATAATTATATTATACCAGGGTATCACACCTTTAAATGCATGATTGAAAGAGAGGTAGTTTTAATTTATGAAGCCAGTCTAAAATACTATCATAGTTTTAATGGCCCCAAACATGAATAAACAAATTCTTTTCCGAAAAACCTGTGACAGAAATTCAACCCTACGAATTATTTTTAGTATTATTGATCTTGCATTAAACAGAGATGCATTATGTTGACATTCTCACTGTGTTTGGCATCATCGACAAACATTAAAATTTGACGATTAAAATTAAGTGAGCATTCATTACAGGGGTTTTTCTAAACCAGGGAACAGGGGTGCAGTGCACTGATACTCTTGGCTGGCGCCCTCTTACCAAATTGCCGATTGAACTTTCAAGTCATAAATATATTTCTTGAGCCGTGCACTTCCCTGCTGCCATACAACATGAAATCTTTCTCAAATATATTTTACTCTGTGAAAACCTCCCAGCAACACAAGCTGACAATGTGTCTGAACATCAAATACACTAAAATTATCCAAAAAATATTTCAATAGTGATAGATACATTGTTAAAAATACACAGAAACCTTCTGATATGGCGTTTCCAGGTCTATCGTCTGTTTGCTCCCTTCGTGTTCATTTTTTCCAGAAAACCCCCTGCATTATATACACAAATGAACTTTAATACTAACAACCAGTCCAACCAATCCCACCAATCCCAGAGATTTTTTTTAAAAATTCTACTTAAATTCATATGAATAAAGATAGAGATGAAATTAGCAAAATGAATCAGCATTTTCTCCATATCTGCACCCGCCAAGGCTCTTGAGTATATGTTGTGAAAATGATCAAAGTCTGGTAGTACATACACACACTGGAGGTGGTTATTTCTTTAACAATTTCATAAGATATGGTTTGCAAGTCTTCTCAATACTTGTACCGGTAGTGTAATGGTTGTTACATCAGACCCAAGTTTTTCATCTGAATAATGTTGCTGTAATTTTTTTTTTCATTTCCTTTATCAATTATATTTTTTATTGTTCTCTTTATTTTTTAACAAAAAATGTACTTAAAGCCATTGGATTAAAATGAACAATTAATCTATTATTAACCTTTTCACCACCAGACTTTCTTGTCCAAATTTGTCTGCACTTTTTCCTTATATTCTTCCATATTTCTAGAAATGAACCCTAATTTTGGAGCCAACAGACGATATTTGAGTAAATTTAAATTTTTTACTCAAAAATTTGCCTATTTTTATCCTAGTCTTCTGAAAGAAAGAGCAGACTATAAATGGGACTATTTTATGATTTTATTATGTAAAGAGGAAACTAGTGATGAAAAGGTTGACCTATTTTCCAGGCAATAGGTCTATAATATAGAAGTAAAACCTATACAGTGAATCAGACCTATTTATACACCATAGCTGGGGGTAGAAGACAGATTTGACAGTGGAAGGTTAATCAACTAAAACAACTTTCGTGGTTGCATCAATATATCTATGTATGGTATCCATGGCAACCAAACAGCATTGTGCATTTGAAGTTCGTGGGAAACTGATGTTGAGTCAAACTGTGGAGGACTATGAAAATGAATCTTTGTTTTACTCCCATAATGCACCTCACTGCATGTATAGATAAACAATATGCCAGGGCTAACTACAGAAGACATTTGTTCCTTATTATATACCCAACAAAATTTGGTGGAGGAAGTTTTGGTCAAACTTATTAGAGCTATAGTAACCCCATCGTCAAACAAGTACTTGTCCATATTGAGAGATATTGCTCTGGAACAGCATTCAAAATCAGCCATTTTGAATACATGTATATATATAACATGATGTATAACGAATATATAAAATTTAAATATAATAAGTCAAAGCATTTAAGAGATATGGCTCTAGAAGCCCAATCATTAAAACAAAATGGCCGCCAGTCAGCCATTTTGAATCCAATCTGAAAAATAAAATGACGAGCATCAGGAACCCGTAATGTCTAATGTATGTACCAAGTTTGAACGAAATCCACCCATAAATGCTTGATATTTGATGATTTTTTAGCGCATAAATGACCACCATTCGGCCATTTTGAACAGGATAGTAAAACCAATATATCTATTTATCTATGACATGATGTATAATGAATATTTAAAATTTGAAAATATTATCAGTCAAAACAAGTCGGAGATATGGGTCTAGAAGCCCATTCATTAAAACAAAATGGTCGCTAGACAGCCATTTTGAATCCGATCTGAAAAATAAATGATGTGCATCAGGAACCTGTAATGTCTAATGTATGTACCAAGTTTGAACGAAATCCATCCATAAATGCTTGATATTTGATGATTGTTTAGGACAAAAAAATCCACCATTTGGCCATTTAGAATAGGATCGTCAAGCCAATATATCTGTCTATCTATGACATGATGTATAATGAATATTTAAAATGAAAGCAAGTCAGAGATATGGCACGAGAACCACATTCATTAATACAAAATGGCTGCCAGTCGGCCATTTTGAATCTTATCTGAAAAATAAAATGATGTGCATCAAGGTCCTATAATGTCTAATGTATATACCAAGTTTGAACAAAATCCATCTGTTAACAGCCGAGAAATGCTTGATTTTGATGATTTTTAGCACAAAAATGGATGCCATTCGGCCATCTTGAGTCAGATCGTGAAACAAATTGACGTGCATATGTATAATATCATGTATGATGTATGTGTGAAGTTTGATTGTGATTGGTCAAGGCATTTCTAAGATACAGGTCTGGACGCTCGCACACACGGAGGTCAAAACATAAGTCCCCATTTAGTCCCCAACAGAGGACTAAAAATACATTTTAGAGAGCACCTCTACCACAAATTCAATTAAATCTGATGTGTTGAGATATCAGAAATGGGCTAATAATAAATAGATAATCAATATGCATGTTTTCAAAACCAAACCAAATTATTATGCAAATTAAGCAATTATTATGCATAGATTTAGGTTTGTGTATTGTTATAATGTGATGATTAATCCTAAAAAAATGGTGGAAAGCTGAGAAGTAAATGATTATGCAAATTAGGTACCATAATTATTAAAAAATCACAGAACAAAACTAAAAAAATAATTCATAAAAATATTATACCGGATTCTGCCGTAAATTACCCTTGGCCATTAAACGGCAGTTTTGGTTTTAAAAAAAGTAAAATGGGACCAGAAATCATGTTTTTCGGCAGTTTTTTAAGGTGTTTATTTTTTAATATTTTGGCATCATTTTTTGGACATTTCAAAGATTCCTGACACCTAAAATAGAGCCTAATTTAAGTTTTACCGTAGTCAAAAAGTAAGATGTTTATTGTGACTAGCATGAATGGGTAAACTTCGTTTCGACAATGAGCTGTCATCATAAGTAAACAATGTTAAATTATTCTTCAAATGCTCAGTTTATCTTTTAAAAAAAATCATGATGTTTTCCCATGAAAATCCAAACCAAAAGATTGTACTAGAACATCGGCAAGTCTCTTCCGCGTTGCGTTCAATAACATTAACTTATTTAAATGAGCTATGGTATTTCGAACACGTTGCTGTCATCCATCATTTTGATTGGTTAATTAGCAATTTGACCATAATTGTATTTGGCATACCAGGTTCGTTAATATGATTTTCTTTTTGGAGAAAGATGATGCTGAGTGACATTGTAATGAAATTTTTGGCGGTCTACTTTTTAATTCAGCAAGAAAAAAACGTATCAAATGTAAGATTAGCTTCTGCAATAGTTTCTTTCGTCTTAGGTGGTCAAACTGCCGGCATTGAAAGTCAACGTAGGTGGAATTTTGAAATTTTGAACCCTAAATAAGGGCCCACCAGTCAAGAAATCCCCGATTTTTTGGATGGGCGAATTTACGGCAGAAAAATATACCAATATATGGATGGTGGAAACAATAATATTGTTGATCTTCGTAGTCCGAAATCTGGGTTTTAGTCATGTAAAATTCTTCATTGTTGTCTGTACAGACATTGATTCTCTGTTTAACCAATTTTTATTTTAGCCAATATTTATTTGAGTCAAATATCTTGAAATGTAAGTTTACATGCAATTCACTGTATTGCAACGATCACAACGACGACAACGACAAAACAGACATTTTCCCCTCCCATACCGTTCTCCTTGTTCACATTATGAGTAAGGTAACAAAGGCGAGGTATACCGGATACATAATGTACTTCACATTACGGAACTTGAAAAAGCTAAAAGTAAATAGTGTATATAAAAATGTTTCAAGGGCTTTTGCGAAATTTCTTTGCATTGATACATTGCCATATGGAGACCATGTGCATTTTGTTCTCAGATAAATTACCTTATGGTCCAAAAAATTATAGTCTTTCTCAAAACAAAGTTGATAATGTTCTGTATGATGAAATATTTACCATAGTTATTGCAATCGAAATGTTCATATCACAAGCATGGTGGCAGTTTATATTGTTGTTGCCAGAGCAATTGCAAATGTTATATTATCTGATCTCAAATTTCATGAAAGTTCACCACCAAATATTCCTACCGTACATTAAAAGTATTAAGCAATCAGACTGGTAGTTTTCAAGAACATGTCAAAAATAACATTTTTTACAAAAATTACAAAAAATATACACTAAAGATAGAAAATTGATGCTTTCAACATGAAATGAACAAATCTGCTGAAGCTTCACCTAAGATACCTGCATGCAAAGTATCAATGTAATAAATTTACCTGGTAGTTTTCTAGAAAATGTTGATAATATAATTTTTTACAAAAATGACAAAAATATTCCAACTCCAAAGTACATGTTCCTGAATACTGAGTATCCGGATGGACAAACAATGGAAAATCATTTTTGATAACAGAGTAAAAAAAAAGTAAAACAAGCCTTTAACCCAGTGTTTTCATGAGACAGGACATATTTTACAAATTACGGTATTACAACTGATCCTTAGAAACAACACAATGTGGTAAAAAGTACTTGTAAAGACAAGGTTAGAGAGAGAGTCATCAGTATGTTTACCTCGTTGTAGCACTGCTATCGCCGGTCTCTTTCGATCGCTGTTTTGCCAATAGTTTAGCTCTTCGTTTAGCTCTGTTTTTCTCCCTGGAACTCATTCCTGGTTTCAGCATGGCAGACATCTCTTGTGATAAGACGGTTGTAGGAGCAAACTACAACGAATAGCACGATTGTATAAACAGAAATGAAAATCGTCATAATCAAAAAAATGATATGCCTGTAATAAATGCTTTGCAAATAAGCAAGGACGCTAGCAACACAGTCTGAGATAATAGATAATTTCAAACATAGTCATTCGCATAATATTTCTATAAATATCATCTTGGGTAATCATCTCACAATTTATGTGACTTCAAATGAGATCTTGCTCTCATATCACACCAGTTGCATGCCCTTATCTTATGCTGAATTTGTCATGTTTGTTTTACGACTGCAGCGGACAAAATTCTGACAGATAAAATCATTTTACAGAGAGCACATTGCTTGGAAAAAATGTTATCTAATATGAAAGATGCAGACAGGGTGAGGACTACCATAGTCCTTTTACATGTAGTCATTAATGTTTGCTGCTCTATATTATTTTACGGAAATTCCAATATTATTACAATGTACATGTAATATTAAATAATACATTATAAGGCAATGTGTTGTCACTGAACCTGTGTAATAATATGAGGTCAGTGTTCTCCACAATCCAAAATAGCTGGTGGGCGGCCTAATTAGCATAAATTTGCATATTAATTTGCATGTCATTTACATACAGCATTCTAGCATTTATGTCACTAAGTTATTTACTATTTTCTTTTTAATTTAATTCAAACATGTTACAATTTTTTGAAATACAAACGGATTGGTCACTATCAATATTTACGAAATGCAAAAAGTTTGAAATCGATGATTTATACGTTCGCAAATTGTTCTTGTTCAAGAGCAAGTACAAAACATAATTGAG